CTCCATGCCCAAGAGGGTTAAGGCAGTGCTGGAAAATAATGGTGGCCACACAAAATATTGACACTTTGGGCCCAATTTGGACATTTTCACTTAGGGGTGTACTCACTTTTGTGGCCAGCGGTTTAGACATTAATGGCTGCGTGTTGAGTTATTTTGGGGGGATAGAAAATTTACACTGTTATACAAGCTGTACACTCACTACTTTACATTGTAGCGAAGTGTCATTTCTTCAGTGTTGTCACATGAAAAGATATAACAAAAATATGAGGGGTGTACTCGCTTCTGTGAGATACTGTAAGTGTGTGCGTGTGTGTGTGTGTGTGTGTGCGCGTTTTTGTGACAAATGAGGACATAAATTTGTATAATGACAAAGGTATGACAGGTATTACAAGGAGAAGGTGACTTTTCAGGACATTACCCCATGTCCCCACTTTTCAAAACGCTTATAAATCACACAGAATGGAGTGTATTGAAAATCTGAAATAGCAGAAAGTCTCCTGTGAGGGGTAGGTTTAGGGGTAGGGTTGGTGTAGGGCAATAGAATATACGGTCTGTACAGTATAAAAACTGTACGCCTATGGGGGGGCGCGAGTGTGCGCGAGTGTGAGCGTGTGTGTGTGTGTGTGTGTGTGTGTGAGAGTGAGTGTGAGTGTGAGCGAGTGTATCTGTGTGTGTGTTTGTGGTCAGTACCGTTGTTTCTGGGCTCGCAGGAGCGCTGGAGTGTGAGTTTATGCAGCATCCACTGCATCCAGATGCTGAGTTTTCCACTGGCGCTGCTGATGCTGCAGGTCTTCTGCTCCAGAGTCATGGTCTCACCGGCCGCAGGGTCCTCGGTGTACGCCGAATCCCCCTGAAACACACACGTCACACACTCTCCCGTTACACAGGCAAAGTGAGCGAGTTATTATATTCTCATGAAACAACAAGAGAAAGTTTATTGAATGCAGTGAGTCATTCCTGAGTTCATGTCGATTCATCCCGACTCTAAACATCTTGTTTCCTAAGTTTCAGAAAACATTTTGCACTCCATTAAAGCTTACGCAATTACACAATGTCCTTTTAATGACTGGGTAAACATTTTACCAATGTATTTATATTGATTTTAAAAAATATTAGTAAAGCAGATACTTTTATATATTTGTAAATATTTCCAAAAATGTTTTTATGTCTGTGTGTGAATAACATATATATATATATATATAAATAAATATATTAGGGCTGGACAAGTTAACGCATTATTATCACATTAAGCCATTCATTAATTAACGCCGACAATTTTTTATCGCACATTAACTCAGTTTTTTATTATTATGAAAGTCCGTTGCTCACTGGCTCTAAAGGAGGGGTGGGATGTTGATCAGTACTGGCTTGGGATGAGCGTCATCACGCGTCTCAACCAATGAGAGCCTTTGGGGGGGGTCTAAGACTGCAGCAGCGCTCACATCAAGCGCTCACGACTTAAGTGGGAAAACAGAAGTTTCCGAATAGCACGTGAAGACAGCAGAGAAGCGCTCTCGCTCAGCACAGTGGAGTGCATTGTTTTGTTAACTTTGTGGTTTATTATTTTGAGTCGTTTGGGACGCAGTGACACACGACCCTCTCACAATATATTGCTTTACAGATCTATCACTCTTGCTGCTCAGAAATGTTTATGCAATCATGCTGCACGTGTCAGAAGTTCAGTTAGCGCTCACACTGATCTATATATAACTGAACCGCGCTCTGGTCCATCTCTTCCAACCGAGCGCGGCACGAAGCGATCACACTAGTCAAACGAACTGGGGTTTGGGGGTCAAACGGGCAAGGGCATGGTTAAGATTGCCTAGTGTGAGTACACCTCTGCATCCCGCACACAGGAGTCTTGTGTGAATTTTGTGCATAATGCGATTAAAAGTTTTAATTGTTGCCCAGCACTAATATATATATATATATATATACACACACACATATATCTTACATATACATGTATGTGCACACACACTCACTCGCACATATATCTCATCAGTCTGTGAGAGGTGATGATGTGTGTGACCTCTGACCTCTGTAGGAGAGCCCAGGTTAGCTGACGGGCTGTAGTTGCTGGTGTCCAGAGGAATGGTGCCCACACTGCTGTGGACGGGTGACAAGGGTCCAGCGGGGGGCGCCGAGGAGTCTGGGAATCCGGCTGACGCTCTCTGAGCTCCTCTGCTCTGCATCCGGTCAAACACACTGAAGATCTGACTCCATCGACACCACAAACCAAACACCAGCTGGACCTGACACACACCAGAGCTGGAGTCAACACTCTTCATGGCTTCAATTTAGTGCATTTATGACACGAACTGAAAGCATTAAGTTCTTCTAAAGAGTCGCAGATTGAAGATGAATATTGAGTAACTTCCTGCTAAATCATAACACAATGAAATGCTTGTAGAAACGAGTGGTTTGACGTCAGTCGTCTGGTGTCATGTCACTCTGCTGTGCTTCCTAATGTCTCCAGAAGAGCATCATCACATCCTCTGAGCTCACGATGATCAGACGCTCATGGTCATGAGCCCATCACTGTCCTCAGCTGCTGACGGCTCTATAAATAAACTCAAACACAGCAGCTGATTCTAACTAGTGTGATAACACAAAACATGACCAACATCTGCTTAGAGAAACTGCTAAAGAAACGCTGTGTGTGTGTGAGTGTGTGTGAGTGTGAGCGTGTGCGTGCGTGCGTGCGAGTGAGTGAGTGAGTGTGTGTGTGCGTGCGTGCGTGTGAGTGTGA